ATATTTTAGATTTTTTATATTTAAAATGAGATGTTTATCCTGTATTTGATTGTGTTTATCTGCAGTTAGTTACACGAATTCAGATATGGGATGAAATCCGATAGGGATGAAATCGTTTAGGGATGAACGGGTTTAAGAGTTTTTAAGAGTTTTAACCAAATGCTTTATAAGATAGTATAGATATGTTATTAGTGTAAATTACAAATATGGCTTCATCAAAAATCCGAACTAGCTTTCTAACTCTAATGAGTTACAAAATCGGTCCCTCCTGTTTCATATATTTTGTCTAAAACTACAAGAAAACATCAAATCCAACTCATATCTGTATTAAATTTTCTTCTTAAACCTCATTTTAGTTTTTTGATTACGTGTTCTTATTATATCTGAGTCTCGATCAATGGAGTTACTAACTTATTTTACGTTTTGTGGTTGTTCATCAATGGACAATCAAGATGGATCTCGATTTAGTGTTTCGAAGATGGATCTTCAATTTGGTATGCATATGGATACCGATCGAGATCTGGTCATTGTCGGAAAGGACACTTGTGTGTGAAGGTTCACAAAAAGTGAGGAACATGGCATGAGATGGCTCGTCGAAGATTGGGACGTAGAGTAAGATGACTGACTAGACATGATTAAGGTTTAAAATGGATGTTTTAATCTATATACAAAATTAATTTAATTTTGATTTTCTTTAAAATTGAGAGAAAAAAAAAAGAATAAAAGAACTAAAATGCTCCCGATTTAATGAAACTAAAGTTAAACACAAGGGACATAATTCATAGAGAAAATAAAACTATAGGGACCTTAGTTATAATCCTTTAGGATTAGGGACCACATATACGTACACATATATGTATCTATATACTCTCTTTTTGGGTCACTGAGTTAACACCCACACGTTTTGTCACCCACACGTTTTGTGCTCTATAAATTCACGGCCTGCATATATGAATCTATTTGTATATCTTTTCCTCAAACTCAAGAACCACGTCTCGAGCCGCCATGGTCTTTCTCACCCGTCCGTTGATCACTCTTTCCGATTCCACCACCACTCTTTCCGATTCCACCACCACCCTTTCCGATCCCACCACCACCGCAGCCACAAAATAAGGTACACCCAACTCTCTTGATTTTTTAATCAGAAGTATATAACATTTATGTATATATGGAAAATATTCATGCACATTTTTTAATCTTTGTTGAGGTTTCAACCTTTAACATACTGGCTCTACCAGTTCCCAAGTACTGGTGGGCCAATGACCCTTGTTCTTTAATGCACTTGCATCATCAGTTAATGTCGATTTCTGGTATTAAAAGTTCGTTTTCTTGTAGGGTTTTGTTGAAGAAAGTTGCGAAGGGGTGGGGAAAGAAGAGTCTTTGATGAGACGGACGCTTGCTGATGCTCATCTTGACTATATTTACACCCAAGATAAAAACCCTTAGATAATTTGTGCGACGGTTTATATATCATTAAAACGTTTGGTGTTTTTTTTCTTATTACCCTTATTAGCATGTAGTTTGTTTACATGAAAAAACAATATAAGGGAAATGAACGAATGCGTATTAATTTGAGTTAGTTCGCGTTTTTGAGTTAAATTATCGTTTGACAACGTTTTAGTTTCTGATCATGTTTAAAAAACCACTTTGACACTTGTTTATTACTAGCCTTTTAATTTGGTATATTATAATATTTTTTTACGTATTAGTCAAATATAAACTTTAATTAGTATTAATTATAGGAATAATTTTCATTTCTAAACCCTGAAAATTATTAATAATAACAGAAAGGCCCTTGCTAATATATGAATAGTCAAGAACTACATAAATATTATTGTAATCAATCTTGTTCTACTATTTGCTTTTATAATAAGATCATAAGAAATAATCCTGAGCTTCATAAGAAAATCTATTATTTTCTTTCCTTAGACATACCCCAAGATATAAAAGCTTTAGTCATTAGAAAACTTAGAGAAACTATTAATAATATTCAAAAGAAAAGAAGGGAAGAAATCTTAAAAGAACTTGAAATAGAAAAAAGAAGATTAGGACTTTTAACAAGACAACTTATTCGAGCCTAATATATATATATATAGTTTACAGTAAACCTGGAATCAAGAAGATTAGAATATTTGGGATTAGAATTAAACCAACTTACAAACAAGAGATTACTAAATAAAGTAGACAGAGGTAAATTTAAGTGTAATTTTCAAAGAGACCGCCAACATAATTTTTATTCCACAGACCAAGTCCAGAATACTATTCTAGATTTATTAATAAACTTAGCTGATAATTTAGAAGTTAAAATCTGTAAGCTAACCGATAATCTTAGCAAATTAGAAAACAATATAATAAATATAAATAAAGACCTTAAAGAAACACGCAATAATTACGACTACATAAAAGAACAAAATATAAATATTTTGGAAAAAATTAGCCAGCCTAAAATAGACAAAGTAGAAATAAAAAATATACAAGAAACATTAGAAAACTTCACAAAAAGACTTGAAAACCAGAAAAATCCCAACTTAGAAGATATACAACAATTAACTAACCAAATTAGCTCTCTTACCATTAATAATACAGGTAAGGAAGTAGTTGCCATAAATAAACCATCTAAAGAATTATATTTTAAAAGATATAAAACAATAGAAACATGACGACAGAAATAAATAATAGAAATTCAATAATAATCAGATCAACAAGTATGTTAGACAAATTTATGAATGAAAAAGAAGAATATGTTACTAAACTAGAAGAAATAATAGACCTAGAACATGATTATGAAAAATTTCAAACCCATGGTTTACATTTATTAAATCCAGAAGTATTATATAATAAAGGAATATTTGAGAAATCAACTCAGTTTTTTAAACATAATAGAGAAATAACAATTCAATGTATAAAAAATCAAACTAGAATTTTAGACATCGTATCCCAAGAAGCTAAAAAACATTTAAAAAGACAAAATTTTAATTTCATACATTTAGGATTAATAGTCATAGGAGTAAAAGGATTAATGCGAAAAAATTTAGGATGTAAAGTATTAATTACTCTTTTTGATAACAGAATTTCTAATATTGTTAAAGGCGTGATAGCAAGTACAGAAGTAGATTTAAATAGTAATAAATGTATTATATATTGTAGTCCAGATTTTTTGTTAACCATTAAAGACTTTACCAAACATATAAAGATAGGAATACAAACAAGAGGATATGAAGATGTAGAACAAGGAGATAATTTGCTAATATCCTTAGGAATATTAGGTAGATGTTCTCTTACTTCGAAGACAAAAATATAAAGTATACACAGACAAGGTAGTAGACTTATTTAGCAGTAGAGGAATAAAAATGGTAAAATCAAAAGAATTTTCTTCAGAAGAACTAATCAGATTAGATTGGAACCTTAGTGTTTTTGAAGAACAAAAACCAAAAATGGTTGCCCCTAAAGATGCCTTATTATATACAGATAGATATGGAAAAACTAGTCTAAGATTCACAGATTATATTTCAGTACCTAATCAAGAATATGAAGATGAAATAGACAATAGTTCTAAAAGTACAATAGATACTGATGCAGTACATATAGAATTAATGAATAATGAAACTGACAAGATAATATTTCCAAAAGAATTAAATATGAATTTAAGTAAGGAAGAATTATTACAATTAGAAGATCAATTATACTTGTCAAAACAAATTACAGAACAAGAATACATTTATTACGATGAATTTAAAAATATAAAAATAGGTCTATTACAAGAAGAAGATCAAACAACCCAAAATACAGATATAAGTTACCAAAAAGAACTAATAGATGAAGAAGCTGAAAGTTACAGAACTACTGCAAAATCTCCGTTTGAAAGAACAGTTCCCCAAAAACAATTCTCTTATAATAGTTTTCCTCCAAAAACAGCCTATGAAAATTACAAAGAACCACCTAATAATCATAAGTATATAGCTAGAGGAATAGAAAGACCCTTAGAACAACCAATAAATTTTCAGGCAAAATCAAAAGGATACATATTAAATCTAACAGCCCATGATCCACAACTATGGACTAATGTAATAGATGTTTGGAAAAGCACACTAATAGCCCATTACTATAGACTTCACCAAGAATTAGAACCTCAAGATATGTATAGATACTTAGAAACATTTTTAGGAGAAAGTACTAAGGCAATGTGGGAAGCCTTTAAACGAGAACAATCAGATGAATACAATAATTTAATATCATTAGGAAGTAACCCTTATAATTTTGTTAATCAAATACAAATATTGGCAACAGGAGCAGACCCTAATTCAGGACAAATGAATGTACAGAAGAAAGCTATGAGAGAATTAGAACAATTATCTTTATATCAATGGACTAGTGGTAAAAAGGTAAAACACTTTTTGAATCATTATGTATATTTAACAGCCATAGCAGGAAATACCTTTAACCAAGAAATAGGAAATAAATTATTTCATAAATTACCTGGACCATTAGGATTAGAAATTCATAATAAATGGAATAATTTACCAGCAGTAAAAGAAAACCCAGATTATCGTTGGCCAATAGGGCAAAGAGCTCAGTTTATAACCAAAATGCTAGAAGAAAAATGTGTAGAATTGCAAATACAAAAGCAATTAAAACAAACAGACTATAAATTCTGTAAAGATATGTATACACCTCAGACTTATGGAACATCCAACCCGAAACCTAAAAAGAAATATAATAATTATAAAAACCCAGTAAAGCAAGATATTATCTTAGAAAATCCAATAGAAAGAAACCTTATTTGAATGAACAAAAACATGTTAGAAAGTTTAAACCAGAGAGAACCTATAAAAATAAATTAAGTTGTTATGTATGTAGTAGTAATGAACACTTAGCTAGAACTTGCCCTAAGAGAGTAAATAATTTTGACAAGACGAGCACTTTAATAGAATGTGTAAATGAAGACCTTATTCCCATATATGAATATATTTCAAATAATGAATCAATTTATAGTATAATAACTATAGAAGACAACTATTTAGAAGAAAAAAAAAAAGCAGTGATTTTGAATCAAAATAGTGAGTGAATTTACTCAGGACTCAGAATTAAGTTTAGATTTTGTCCATACAGAAGAGAAATCATGTGACCATAATTGGCATAAAAATTCAGGAACATATAGTACTACTTGTATAATTTGTGCCAAATTTTCCCATAAAACCTTAAGAGCCAAGTGTTTAATTTGCCTTAAAGAAGCTTGTGTAAAATGTCTAGAAAAAGAGAAATTAATAGATATAAAACCAATTTAATCAAGAAAACTTTAGTCCTACTCAGTACTCTCCTTAAAACAGTGTATTAGATGAAAATATAGTAAGTTGTATCCCATCATATACAATTTTTTTTTTTTTGACTAAAATGGCTAGTATACTTGCGTCCTTAAATATAGTATACTTACACGTTTTGACCTCTATAAATATAGTATACTTACACATTTTGACCTCTATAAATTTACATCCTTCGTATATGTATCTATTTGTATATCTTTTCCTCAACTCAAACTCAAGAACCATGTCTCGAGCCACCATGGTCTTTCTCACCCGCCCATTGACCACTCTTTCTGATTCCACCACCACCACCGCCACAAAAATCACTAAATAAGGTACACCCAACTCTCCTGATTTTTCAATCAGAAGTATATAACATTTATGTATATA